GCAGCCCAGTCCCGGAGTCTTCTTTCTGGGGGTAAAACCACTCCAAGGAATTCCCAAAGGCTCACCACTAAGAGTAGATAGGGTGAAGAGATGGAGCAGGCGTTGGAATTGCCAGGAGACGCCGTCACTGATCTCGGGATGGAACTTGCTTCCTCAGTACTAAATGGCCGAGGCAACGCGAGAACCACCGGAGTCCCCAAAGCCAATGGGGTCGTCAAGGTCTGTAAGGCCCAAGGGTGGTCTCCCCGGTTCCTCGTCCCTGCTGCAGGCAGACAGAGCAGGGAGGTGGGGCAGGCGATGAAGCCGCCAAAGAACGCCGCCGCCGCCACCGAGCTGAGGCTCCTCTCCTCGCCGCCGAACAGCTGAAACGGCTGAAACAGCACGGTGGCCGCCGGAGCCGCCAGAGTCCACCATTATATAAATATAATGATGAGAGTAGCTGGTAATTGTAACCAGGTCTACATCTTGGCAAAAAATAGGCTGGTGTGTTTGTGGTTTAAAAGCACAATTATATATGTATACATTTTTGTTCTCTTTTTTTTAAAAAAAGGAGGAAGATATATGTCAAAATTAAATATGTATATTGAAAAGGAATTATAAATACCATCAACAGAAAATGGAGCTGGCTGAGAAGCTGAAATACACCAAGTAAATGAGATGAAGAGTGTGAAGTAAAGGAGAGAGGTAAGGGAAGAAGAGAGGGGTAGGAGAGAGGGCAGGGGGAGGGGAGAGGAGGAGAGAAAAGAGGAGTGGAAAGCGGAGAGAGGAGAAGGAGAGAGGAAAGGGAAATAGAGAAGAGCAGGATGACAGAGAGAAGAAAGGAGGTAGGGAGGGGGAGGAGAGAGGGAGAAGAAAGTGACGGATAAGGTACAAATATGGTGTATGGAGAGCAGACGAGCCAATAATAGTTTTTGGGAGCTGATGGTAAGGTGAATTGATGTAAACATTTAATAATACAATATGATGTTGGCTATGTAATAGTATACATGTGATTATATATTATGAAGATGGAAAAATAAAAAAACTTAATAAAAAAAGACAGACAGAGAGACACAGAGAGAGAGTGACAGAGAGAAAGAGAGTTCTCACATCAGAGAACTTCAGATTTGCCTGGAGAATCACCAACGCTATACCCTTCCCACTCAAAGGTTTCTGCCTTTACCTTGGGAATTTTGTATCCAAGAAGGTGCACATCATTAATAGCTTTATGAGCTACTCCAAGTGGAACTATATTTGATGTACGTTGGATTTCATGAATGACGGCATTTGTGTAGGGCAACCTTATACGATCCTCGTGTTTCAGTCTTGCCTTGTTTCCCAGGACTTTGTCGATTTCCTTCCAGCATTTCTCTGAGGAACAAAGAGCTCAGTTACTTTCTGGAAAACATTTCATTGAATTTAAGTAGACATTGGTTTGCTTCCAAGTGCTGGACACAGATTACTGAATCTCCTGCCATTATGCTAACTCCCTTCTTTCCCATTTTATGTAATTGGTGAAGATATTACTATTGCTACTAAAGGGCAGCATTTGACAATTCTGTACCTTGGATCTCTGGAAAGGCCACCAAATAGAGGAATGCCCACTGCAGTGTTCCTGAGGTTGTCTCTGTTCCAGCATTGATTAGGTCATACAATAAGACTCGTAGTTGCTCTTCTTCAAAACTTGAACCTTTCCTCTCTGGCTTCNGGGGAGATGGAACGAGATGACATGTCCATGGGGGGGGGGAGCTGACAGTGTTCAAGGGGGTTAGCGGGAAGCTGCTGCTGGGCACACCCACGTCAGCTCCAGAGATCCCAAGCTGGGCATCCTGCCGACGCTGACCGCACCCACACTGGCAGCTGCCGATGCTCTTCATTCTCCTCTCACCACCAGCCGCCCCCTTTCACTCATGATGTTCCGGCTACGAAGCAGTAAATCGCAGCTCAAGGATATCCCCGAGGTCCCAGGAAGTTCTCATAGCTGGACCTGGAACCAACGATGGGATAGGGTACCCCTGCAAGCCCCCGAAAAGGACAATCATCCCCCCGAAGCTCTCCTCAAATGTGACAGGACACCATCTTGGGCATGCGCAGAACTTATGTTCTTCAAAGTACCAATTTTTTTTCAAAGCCCATGAAGGTCAGACATAGTTCTAGGATTGATTTCATCTCAAAAAACTGATCCTCTCGAGAGTAGCCCAATTCTATTAACTATCAGGATTCCTTCAAATCAAACATACATCTCTACAGAGCAGAATCCTTTAATATCGAACTAACATGCTGAAAGTTTGCTCCCCTAAATCTTTCTTTGATCTCCTGTAATTACAAGGAAACACCCTTCATTTTTGCTGAGTTACTCGATGGAGATTAATGTGGGATCGAATAAGGATCTGTACCTGATCCAAGTCCTTGAGGGGATCCTTCTTACTGAACTGAAGTAGGTTCCCAAGCAGGGGGAGGCTCCATGGTCCAGGGGGGAAACCTTTGGGACGTTGGCTCTTCCAGAAACAGAAGAATAGGAGGGAAAGAACAATCAGCCAACTGAGAATAACCATGTTGATAGCAGGGACGTTTCTCTCTATGTGTTTCTCAGCTGCTGTGACTTTAGCAAACCAGCCAGAGATTAAATCTTTAAGGTCACGATGAAAGATAAACTTTGAACAGAACTAGATTTCATAATCTGCAATTTAAAAAACAGGAAAGTTTGGGTTACCTGCATTAAAATCTTTCTCAACAGTACCATTTAGGTAGCCTTTGATTTATGAGCAATTGATCAGTGACCATTCAAAGTTCTGATGACATGGGAAAAAATGACTTACAAAAATGACTTACAATTACAGATTGTCCTCGAATTATGACCATTTGTCATCTCCAACAATCTGGCTCCTCATTTTATTGACCTCAGAAGGATGCCCATTTCCTACACTTCCAATTGCATTCTGTGTTTTCTCTGGGAAGGTAAGGAAGCTGGTGTGAAGATCTCATCGGATCCCCACAGTTACAAGGCTGTCAGATGGGGAGAACCCAGAAAGATTGAGCAACAGCAACAAAGACAAAAAGGGAAAAGGGCTGAAGGACAATAATGACTTTCTTCCAGCAGGAGCTAAACCAAAGGGGGGAATGTGGTGAGAACCACAAGAAGGAAAGANTGGGATTCATCATGATGGGCAGACTGGATGTTGACAACAACCATGGTGTCCTGCAGAAGTCAAAACAAATAGGGCTCTGGATGAGCTTCCAGATAGACCCGATTGAGATGTGGTTGGAGAATGGCAGATGCAGGTCAAAAAGTGTGAGGAGCACTGTTGGATCAAGCAGAGCAGAACTCAGAAAAAGGAAAAAAAATATTTCTATTCCCAAGTACTCCATTCCTAAATGAGAATGGCAGAGATTTAAGAAACATCTTTGCCGCAAGGACTTTAGAAAACCTTGAAATGGTGTCAACTTGCAAAGCACCCCACAGAAAAAAGGGTCAATAGGTCTATGGTACTTTCATAAAAAGCTGGCTAAGAGGTTGAGCTTGTCGATCAGAAAGGTCTGCAGTTGGGCAGTTCGAATCCCTAGCGCTGCGTATTGGAGTGAGCTCCTGTTACTTGTCCCAGCTTCTGCCAATCTAGTCCATAAAAAATGCTAATAGAAAAATAGGGACCACCTTTGGTGGGAAGGTAACAGCGCTCTGTGTGCCTTTGGCATTTAGTCATGCCGGCCACATGACCCCGGAGGTGTCCTTAGAGCCAGAAAATGACTAGCACAAATATGTGGGGGAACCTTTACCTTGATTTTATAAAGGCAGGCTCCAAAGAAAGAGAGAACAGAATTGATCTCAATTCTTGCTTTCTCTTGCTCTTACATAGAAACATCAGAAGGGGTATCCTCCCCTGGAGTGGGGAGGGAATGGAGATTTTGCAGTATCCTTCCCCTGCCACGCCCACCAAGCCACAACCACAGAACCAGTAGTTAAAAATTTTGAATCCCACCACTGAGATTCAGGTCAGGAAGAAACATGCAGATCCATCAACACTTCATTTTATGGGAAACAATTAAAGATTTCTGCCAGGGCTTTTATTACCTTGGGAATTTTATATCCAAAAAGCTGCACATCTTTTATGGGAGCATGAGGAATTGCAAAAGGAACAACATTTGAAACGCGTTGGATTTCATGAATGACGGCGTTGGTGTAGGGCAACTTTTTTCTGTCTGCATACTCCAAAATTGCCTTGTTTCCCACCATTGTGTCTATTTCCTTCCAGCATTTCTCTGAGGGACAAACAGTTCAGTTACCTTCTGGAAAGCCTTTCTCCGGCTTCCTATAGATTTACTATCTGGTGTACTACCCAACCAGGTGCCCATCAGATGTGAGCAGAGTGCAGTTGACTGAATTCTCAGCCGTGAAAAGGAATTCAGGGTCCCTTTTTTACTTTCCACAATATGAGCAGATATTATGACTATGACAAGTAGACTGTTTCGTAATTCCGTACCTTGAATCTCTGGAAAGGCCACCAAATAGAGCATTGTCCACTGAAGTGCTGCGGCCGTTGTCTCTGTTCCAGCCAGAAATAGATCAGACAGTAAGACTCGTAATTGCTCTTCTTCAAAGCCTGAACTTTTCTTCTCTGGCTTTTTGTCAGTGAAAACAACAAAGATGAATATCAAATAGAAAGAAAGGATTTCCTCCCAGTTTGCGCATCCTTTTTAATAGAGTTGATAACATCAGTTTAAAAACTGGAATTCACTCAGAAAACTGTGGCTAAAAGGGTAACAGTAACTTCTTCCAGTAACAACCCAATATGATTGTTCCAAAGCTGCTTTTTCAGGAGGCAACTGGACTTCCTTGTTTTTTCTTTTGCAGACATTTCACTTCTCATCCAAGAAGCTTCTTCAGCTCTGACTGGAGGGTGGGGAATGGAAGGATTTATATTCCTTGCAGGCAGCTGGTCATTTGTGTTCCTTTAGAGGGTCATTGAAGCACTGGGAGGTTTGACTGTGTCTTCAGGGTGACCTGAGTGGTGCAAATGGTTCCTGTAGTCTACAATTTTTTCCTCTGGAAATCCATTCCTACTCCCACATCATTCAAGGGGTGTTCATCCCAAATTGTATAGCTCTTCAGCTCTTCAGGTCAGAGCTGAAGAAGCTTCTTGGGTGAGAAGTGAAATGTCTTCAAACAAGAAAGTCCAGTTGCCTCCTAAAAAAGAACCAACACCTGGAGGACTGAGAATCTCTACAAACCAATTATGATAGAAAGAGTTCAGGAAGATAATGAAGATCCCGCACAGCTGGCAATAGGAACTTTCCTCCCAGTCCTGGTCTAAAGATCTACTCTAATTCAGAATCTCCAATCCAGGGGTGAAATTCTACTGGTTTGGACAGGTTCGCCCGTACCGGTAATTAAAAAATGGTACCGATTCGGGTGAACTGGTAGTTCCAACAATCAGCTGTGCAACAATCAGCTGTGCCATGGGAAATTGCACAGAATAGCTGATTGTCACAGAGCTGATTGTCGGAACTACAATCTACTGGTCATTAGAACTACTGGGCAAACCAGTAGTTCTAATGACCGGTAGCAGACTTCAGAGCAATTCACCCCTGCTTCAATCCTCAGTCTGTGGACCAGCACTGGGCCGCACAGATAAGGGAAGGGCCATCCATGGGATACAGGCAGCATGGAAAGCTGCACCCACTCCTGTCCACGGAAAAACCTTTCTCCACGGAACCGATCCCTGGTGTGCAAAAGGTTGGGGCCCCTGTCCTAGTTAGTTGGGGCTATACAACGTGCAAAGCACCAGGGAGAAAGTAGATCTCTAGAAAAGTCACTGCATCGATGTGTCTGTGGCACTTTCATAAGGGACAATGTCAAAACCACAGGAAAAGAAAGGCCTGCAAATTGAACCATCTACCTTCTGTATTTCTTCTAAGTAGGCATCAGTGAAATCACGAGGTTCTCCCGGAGTCAAGGTCGCCTTGTGTTCTTCCACCTCCTTTTGAATAAAAACATATATTTTCTCTGCAGTTCTTAGTATTGTCTGGTGGGGCAAGGGGAGACTTCTTACCAAGGGCACCTCGTTGTAAAGCTGCCAGCAAACAGAAGAAAAACCAACATTGATGAATTCGATCATGGTAATCAATTTATACAATTCTTCTTCTTCTTGAGCCCTGTCCATCATCGGACGTTGGAGATCATGTTGGCGATCCTATTTTTGTGAACAGCCACATGAAAAAGTGCTGTTGAGTTTTGTCCAAACCGGCCCCTTAGATTTTGAAGCCATGATGTCCTTCTTCTGTCTCCTTTGCCTTCAATCTTCCCCTGGAGGATTAAGTGAAGGATGCCGTATTTTTTCTGGGTGTTGCATAACATGTGCAAAATATTCTAACTTTTGCTTTTGGTTTTTTACCACCAAGGAAGTGGTACTTGGGTTAGCATGGTTGAATAAGTGGGGCCCCACGATTTGGTGGGGAGCTGGTTGCAGACACCTGAGGATAGGTCTAGGGCCCAAACCCTCCTCACAGAAGGAAAAATAATCCCTGGTAACATCTCTCATTCCCAAACTGATTGAGAATCAAATGTCCTAATAAGTGGAAACTAATCAAGGAGAGAAGCAACCTAGAACTAAGGAGAAATTTCCTGACAGTTAGAACAATCAATCAGTGGAACAACTTGCCTCCAGAGGTTGTGAGTGCTCCAACACTGAAAGTTTTTAAGAAGATGTTGGACAACTATTGTCTGAAGTAGTGTAAGGTTTTCTGCCTAAGCAGGGGATTGGACTAGAAGACCTCCAAGGTCCCTTCTAACTCTGTTATTCTAAACTAAAGTTAAATTTCACTACAAAAACTGGCCCTTAATTAAACTGAGATAATTGCAGGTTTCCACCAAATCACTCACACAAGTTGTTTCACCCACTGTATCCTTGCTCTCTGCTGAGATGCTGTTCTAATTTCAGGAAACTTACAGAGTTTCCAAAATGTGTGAACTATGGAACTTTAAATGGCTCTTGTGCATTGATGTGAATCTTTCATCACGCTTCTTGATAAGCATACCAAGGCCCAGGGTCCTGTCGTCATTTTGGAACTTAGATGTATCTGATCCAGGAAAGTCCTGAAGAAGCCGTTGCCATATTCCCAACGTTTCCCAAATATGATGGCGCAAATTATATTGGCGACTGCAGTGTCCAGAAACTCATAAGTATCGAGAGGAACGCCTGTGAAATACAACATTTCCCTGCTTGTTTATTTAGGAGAGTCATAAAGATGCAATCCTTTAAGCCCGTGATGGCACGCATGCCCAAAGTGGTGCCCGGAGCCATGTGGCCTGGCACATGCAGCAGCATCCATTCTGTTTCCAGGTTTCTGGCACACATGAGCACATGACAATCAGCTGGCCTTTGTGCTTGCCCCCTGAAGTGGGCAGGGAATGGAGATTTTACAGTATCCTTCCCCTGCTACGCCCACCAAGCCATTCCACGCCTACTAAGCCATGCCCACAGAACTAGTAGTAAAAAATTTTTAATCCCTCCACTGTTCCCAACCATCCCATCCCAGGAGAACTTACCTCTGTTATCAGTGAATGCTTGAATCAAATAAGATGTTTCTTCCAGGATCTTTTCTTCCACTGATTTTTTGCTCGATCTAAAGTTTCTGAAAAGCATCTGTGAAAACTTTCTTTGCCCCTTCCATATTTCACCATATCTTAATGCCAGCAAACCTGAAAAAATATCCAACAATCATTCGCATGATTTATTTATTTACTTACTTATTTCTAAAGCAAAAGTATACTTTCAAATATGACAAAAATCAGTAAATAAACCAAGAATTACTAAAATTATACCACCAATGCTAAACTAATGAACGGTTATCATGCCAAGAAAAATACATTGAGTTGTTTTTCTGGTACGTGAACAAATTATGATTCTTTTTTTCAGCTGAATGTCCACATTTATCCTATATTGTTATTGTAAATGTTATAAAAGAAAGAAGGAAGATAATTCTATCATTTCAAGAGATCCTTCTTTCTTTCATGAGACAATCACGAGAAATGTAAATTACAATTTATAATGCCTTGGTAAGGCCACACTTGGAATATTGCATCTAGTTTTGTCACCACAATGTAAAAAAGATGTTGAGACTCTAGAAAGAGTGCAGAGAAGAGCAACAAAGATAATTAAGGGACTGGAGGCTAAAACATATGAAGAACGGTTGCAGGAACTGGGTATGTCTAGTTTAATGAAAAGAAGGACTAGGGGAGACAAGATAGCAGTGTCACGATATCTCAGGGGTTGCCACAAAGAAGAAGGAGTCAAGCTATTCTCCAAAGCATCTGAGGGCAGAACAAGAAGCAATGGGTGGAAACTAATCAAGGAGAGAAGGAACTTAGAACCGAGGAGAAATTTCCTGACAGAACAATTGATCAGTGGAATGACTTGCCCCAGATATTGTAGGTGCGCCAACATTGGGAGTTTTTAAGAAGAGACTGGACAACAATTTGAGTGGTGTGGTGGCCTAGAGGTGGAATTCTTGCCTTGCAATCAGGAGGCTGAGAGTTCAATCCTAGGTAAAGGCAGATATTTCTCTCTCTGGCCACATGCTAAACAAAACTCCACATTGGTGATAGGATAATAATAATAAATATTACAAAAGAAAGGAGAAGAGAGCTAGTTCTAAAATTTCAAGAGATTCTTCTTTCTCTTGCTGGAAACTTTGATCAACCCTCCAGATTGCAGAAAATTAGAATACCAAGAATAAACAGAGTAGGAGGTGGGGATTGGAAATTATATTCAATTACCTTTCTTCCTAGTATGGACATCCGTTATTGGAAAGGATGCTCTCCCAGCAAATTCTATGCCTTGTATCACGAGAACCTCCTCGACTGAAGGAAACCCATAAATCAAGACCAGAGGGGTCCTTCCAAGATAAAGACTGAAGACAGGGCCATATTTTTTTCCTAGCTGAAATGGAGGAGCGAGGATCGTTAGCCTAGACATTTGTTAAGTGGTCTGCCTCCTCCATTGACTTCGCTTGTGAGAAGGTTACAAAAAGTGATCCCATGACCCTAGGACTGTGATGGTGAACCTATGACACACACAGGCACGCACGCAGAGCCCTCTCTCAGTCGCCCCAGCTCAGCTCCATTGCACATGCATGCACACCTCCCATGGGCCAGCTGGTTTTCAGATCTCTGCCGCGCATGCACAGGGGGCGGGATGCATATGGGAGATGCATGTGCATGAATGGGGGCAGGGGGGGCATGTAGGGGGTTGCTCATGCATGCATGTGGGTGAGGGGTTGCGCACACATGCACAGAGGGTGGGATGCATTTGGAGTGTTGCGCATGCATGCATGGGGCAGGGGAAGTGAGGGGGGTCACTTGCGTATGTGCGGGGTGCATGCAGGGTGTGTGTGCATGCATGAGGGCGGAGTGCATAGGAGGTGGGAGTGCCAGGGCGGGGGTTGCACAGGCATTATATTATGGGTGCGCATACTTGCCTAGGACACTGTGACCATCATATATATAAGTCAGTTGCCAAGCATTTGAATTTTGACCGCACGACCATGGGGATGATGCAATAGTCACAAAACCTTCATGAATCACTTTTTTCAGTGCTGTTATAACATTAATCGGTCAGTAAATGAACAGTTGTAAGTTGAGGACTAGCTGTATGTCATCAAGGACGACACTGAAAAACGTACTGACATTTTTAGATCGAATGGCAATTGAGAGCAGAAATTCCATCGCCTAGCAAAACTGACACAAAATATAATTTCAGGTGTCTGGACTGATTTACAACATCAGTTTCAGCAATTCCAGTTGTGGTTGTTAAGCAAATAATACTGAAGCAACCCTTAAGCGTTACTGCCATTTGCAATCTCCTGCTATCTTCCCACATTGATTTTGCTTGTTGGAAGTTGGCAGTGAAGGTTGAACATGTGACCACAGAACCACGTGGCTCTCATAATTATGAGGCACTTGTTGAATGTTGAACTGTGAATATGTGACTGCAATCTCAAGGAATGTCATAAATCCCTTCACTTATGGTTGACTTGGTTGGTAATTCACATTGACTTGGTTGGCAATTACCTGAATCATACATTATTGATTGATGCAGATGAACAATGGCCTACTTTAACCTTCTAGATTGCTAAATTTCTCCAGCAGGTTTTGGAAAGCGAGTGTTTTGCTTGAAAACTTCAAAGGTAAACCTAATTCCCCCTCTATCAGCTGATCAATCTTTCACAAGTTTGATTCAATTAGGAATTTGGATTCCATTCGACCGGATGTTCTTCAGCTGGACAGAGGAAGGAGGTGTGAACTCTTCAGAGCCTCACATGAACTCTGTCTGACAAACCAATGCCAAGATCCTTTTGGATCAGAACCTCCTTGCAGGGAGGAGTCTACATGGGGCTGCCCTTGAAGAGTGTTCAAAGACTTCCGTTAGTCCAGAATGCAGCCGCGCAAGCGATATTGGGGGTACCTAGGTACACCCACGTTACACCTATCCTCCGCGAGCTGCACTGTCTTCCCATTGGTCTCCGGACACGTTTCAAGGTGCTAGTCATTACTTTTAAAGCCCTACATGGTTTAGGACCTGGCTACCTGAGAGACCGCCTCCTGCCATTTACCTCCCAGATACCTATAAGCTCACATAGACTAGGCCTCCTCCGGATTCCATCCGCCTCTCAATGTTGACTGGTGACTCCCTGGGGGAGGGCCTTCTCTGTAGTTGCTCCAGCCCTATGGAATGATCTCCCCGTGGAGATCCGGATCCTTACTACTCTTCCGGCCTTCCGCAAAGTGATTAAGACCTGGCTGTTCCG